AAGGTACTTCGTTGGGAAACATTGGCATCATATTCAGTTTTCGACCGTTAGTTCAGGTTGTGACTTTGGCGCCCTTTTGGTGATGAATGTAACACACCAGGAGGAACATCAGTCTGTCAGATGGTTCCTGAACTTGAGGTATATAAGGCTGTCAGAAATTTTGTTCCATTTACCCACCTACCCACCTACCTATTTTGTAATGGGTTCATCGTAAGTTAACCAATCTATGCAAAAGCAATTATTCATTGATTTGGCCATTTATTCATAGCGGCCAAATACTATCTCATGCCTCAAACTCTCAAATCTACAATTCTGTCTTCACCACTGGTGATGCTAATGTTACATATCATGGAGCTCATTTGACTCAAGATGCAAACCAAGGTATTTAAACTCTATTAATTTTTGATTTTTGAATATTGAATGTTACAAAAGAAAATCAATCAGATCAGCCAATTTTGCTTTCAGATATTCTCAAGTGCCCTGCTCCTAGTCAATACTTTGTGGGACGTGAGGATGCATTGAAGAAACTTTCAAAAATATCTTCAGAACCACTAATGACTCTTTGGAGTACAAATGCAGAGGTGATACATGATTTTGTAATCAGCCAAATTAGGTCAAAACTTCATGTCAAGTAGTGAGTTAGATTTTATGGATAAGATATGCATTAACTTACCTGGTCTTGAAGCACATGTGTCTTTTTGGATGCAAGTTCTCCTCAGGCTTTAAATGCATCACTTGCAGCCAAGATCAGAGAGCAGGCTTTTCCAACTAAATTCCTTTTGGTGCTGGAAAATGCAAATAGCTCAGTAGTGGAAGATCATATTCCTAATTTCCCTGACTCTCCTATCCTTGTGGCAAGCACAGAGCCAGCTATTTGCAAGTTGGCTTCATTTACTGCTTGTAAATTTCAACTTCCTGATGGTGCCACTAAGCAAGAAATGCAGAAGGTGTTAAGTTCCATTGAGAAAGCCCTTGAGCCAAGACAGCGGGCTACAACTCTTGTGGCAAATGGGGGCACTGGGAAAACCCAAATCATTCTCCAATTTGTTTCCAGAAACATTTCTAGGTTAGAAAAATCAACCAGTCAGAACACTGAACTTTGATACTTAAATATTTCTACAGATTTTCCAATATTTGGTTCTTTGATGCTGGCTCCAATGACATTCTTGCTGCCAATTTTAAAGAGCTTGGAACAGCTTCAGGTGTTGGTGAAGAAGTGAAAAATGTCCGGGACTTCCTGGGAAAAAGAAAAGAAAATTGGCTTTGCATTTTTGACAATGCAGATGACAAACAGGTCATTCTCAAGGATTACATTCCCAGTTGCAACCATGGCAATGTAATTGTCACAAGCCGCCTGAAAGAGACATTGCAAATGGCATCTCCAGAATGTCACATTGACCTCAGTGATCTGAAGAGGGAAGATGCTGTTGAGTTGCTCTTAAAGCATTCTCATGATGAGAACTCCAAAAAAAACCGGAATCTTGCTGCCAGGATTGTTGATGCTTTTGGATGTCATGCTCTTGCTGTTTCAACAGCTGGTGCATATATTGGTGTAACCCCAACTTGTAACCTGGGAAATTATTTGACACATTTGACCAAGATACTGAAGTATGAAACAAGATCACTGGATGCATACAAACTTACTGCATTTGATGCATGTCAACTAAGCTTCAGCAAGCTTCACTATTCAACTAAATATTTGATGCAAATGTGTGCATATCTGAATCCAGCTGCTATTCCTATTGAGATATTTACTCGTGCAGCTGCCTTTACTGGCAGTGATACTAGTTCTGTTGATGTGAATCCTCCAACTGAAGCTATAGGGGCAATGGAGGAGTTCTTGTCCCTGTTTGTAGAGAAAGAGTCATGGGAAGACAGTGTAGTTGAGCTATGTCAATTATCTCTGGCCTCCTATGAAGATGTCAAAAAATCATTGGCATTTCACCCAGTCATACAAAAATGTGCCAGGGAAACTACTGTAAATCAGGAGCATATGAGGCAGACAGCATTATTACTGCTTGGACGGGCTACTCCACTTGGAGAATCAATTGATGACTACAGATTTCGTCATCAGCTGATGGTCCAGGCCAGTTCGATTCAGGTTGAGGAGGTGCCTACTGTCCATGTAAAGATTTCCCTATCAATAATTCTCCGGGATGGTGGATTGTGGGCCAAATGTGAGATGCTGGTTAGGGAGGTCTTTGCACAGCGCAAGGCGGTGCTTGGAGAGCATCATCCTGATACATTGACTTCAAAGTGCAATCTTGCTTTGACATATCAATACCAAGGCAATCTGGATGCAGCTCAGCAGCTTCAGAAGCAAAATCTTGCACACTGCAAGGTGGTGCTTGGAGAGCATCATCCTGATACATTGACTTCAATGAGCCATCTTGCTATGACATATCAAAAGCAAGGCAATCTGGATGCAGCTCAAGAGCTTCAGGAGCAAGTCCTTGCACAGCGCAAGGCAGTGCTTCAAGAGCACCATCCTAGTACATTGAATTCAATGAGCAATCTTGCTTTGACATATCAATACCAAGGCAATCTGGATGCAGCTCAGCAGCTTCAGGAGCAAGCCCTTGCACAGCGCAAGGCAGTGCTTGGAGAGCACCATCCTGATACATTGAATTCAATGAACAATCTTGCTTGTACATATCGAGACCAAGGCAATCTGGATGCAGCTCAGCAGCTTCAGGAGCAAGTCCTTGCACAGTGCAAGGTGGTGCTTGGAAAGCACCATCCTCATACATTGAGTTCAATGGGCAATCTTGCTGTGATATATCAAGACCAAGGCAATCTGGATGCAGCTCAGCAGCTTGAGAAGCAAGTTCTTGCACAGCGCAAGGCAGTGCTTGGAGAGCACCATCCTGATACATTGAATTCAATGAACAATCTTGCTTGTACATATCGAGTACCAAGGCAATCTGGATGCAGCTCAGCAGCTTCAAGGAGCAAGTTCTTGCACAGTTCAAGGTAGTGCTTGGAGAGCATCATCCTAGTACATTGAATTCAATGAGCAATCTTGCTTTGGCATATCAAGATCAAGGCAATCTGGATGCAGCTCAGCAGCTTCAGGAAAAAATGAAGAAAATCAGTTTGATTCAAATGAATTTGCCTGAGGAGCAGTCTTATACCAGGTCAGTGCATGAACCTCAAATCATAGTTGCCCAAAAAATGGGTTATGGCTCAAGGTTGAAGCAATTTTCGCTCAAATCATCCAGCAAGTTGAAGATTTGGAAGAGATCTCAACCTGCACCAAACCTGTCAATGTCCCCTACTTGAACTGCAAGGTTTGAATTACTGCAGAGTCTGAAATATAAGTTTGCTCAGTATTATGTGTTACAGTCAATCTTTGAAATTTGCCTAGTTCACAGTTACAGTAGCATTACATATAGTAGCATTACACACCAATTTTTCAGTTTATTTTGTACTATGATTTGGGAAAACTTGAAGTTCAAGTGGCATTATGGTATGTTATTTTTTTTCTCATTTCATCTAGTCTGGTTCCCTGTATTATGGTAGCTTAAACTTGTCATGTTACCTCATGATATCCATATTAGCTCTCTCTTTCTCCTCTTTTTCCTGTTCTTACTTTTGGGGCATTTAGGCTCAGCTGTGATCTTTTTAGTTAGTTACTGTGACCTTATATATAAATGATATCTATTTTCTACTTATTCTTCATCAGCAAAACCTAGTATTCTGCACAGAACTGTTAAGCTCTGTACATTATCCATAGAGCTTATAGGGCTCATAGCATGGGTAAGTATGCTCTGCCCAGAACTGTGCAATGCTATGAAATGCTATAGAGCACTGTGGATTTCATAGAAATATCATCTGTCAGAGTTCTATTTAAGTAATACTAAATCTTGAATTATTTCCCTGGTTTGCAAGACATACAAATAATCATAGAAATCATATACAGAAGCAAACCCAGAAGCGAAACATTCTAAGGAAATTGATATATTCAGGGCAGTTTTGCATGGTTTCTCTTGATTCTTTTTTTTCTATAGGTCCTATAATATGCGAGGATTACGATCTGATTTTATCAGAATTTTTGAGGGCCTAAAAATGGCATCATATTTTAATTTATCTTTTGCTGCCAAAACCTGCCAAAAACCCAGAAGCGAAACTTTGGGCTAATTGGGCCTCTACATATCCGCATCCCTTTGGGATTGCTTGTAGCATGGCTTTCCATGCTCATAGAGTAGATTGAATCTATTGTATACCCAAAAATACCACAGATTTCATGGTACAATTCATAATATTTCAAAAACTGAGAAAAATCGCATTTTTGGCATAGTGTTCATATATGATCATATTATAATGGATTTATTATATCTAAGCTATGCTAATCATGTCCAGAAACCCTTCTAGAGGTTGTATAAAAAAAACCACATCCTAAAACACAATCTATATGACTCAAATATCAAATATTTCGCTTCTGGGTATTTTTCGCTTCTGGGTTTGCTTCTGTAATATTGACAGGCTCATTGTACAAGTACAATGTAGTGAAAATAATATCATAGACTCATAGTTTACCTCCCAGCGGCCCACCAATGCAAAAGAAATCCTGTTAAGACACACCAAATCAGAAAAAGAAAAACATTTGTGCTTTGAATTTAACTTACCATTCTTTCTTTGCTATTAACCTCACCTCATGTTCAGATGCAATGCAACACTGACCGTCCTGCATCTTGACCAAGACAATAAGGCTGTTGATACTGTCTTTGACTCTTCAAGTACTCTCCGTACTTTTTAAATCACTAGGTAAATTAACAAGCATTGGGGTTGTGATTCTGTTCATTGCAGTTATGTTTAGTTATTTTTCTTCATGTTCCAGTTGTATACACAAGAACATATTTTTTATTTAAAAATATCTCCTGCCCATTCCCTTCTCTTACCTGGTAACTTGCCTATCTGTTCATCATCGGGCCTGTTCTCTTTGTCCACTGTAGAGTAAGTATTCTAGTTTATATGTTGTATTTGAGTGCTACAAGTATGGGCGTATGGTCTAGAGGTATGATACCTGCTTTGGGTATAGATTTACATATATCCGGCTCATTGCAGGGGGTCTTCGGTTCGAATCCGGATTCGCCCCATATATAATCGTTTAGTTCTGGCTTTTTTTCTTCGTCTTCACTTTTTCTAGTCGAGCGTTGCCTCGAATGCGCAGTATCAATTTACGTATCAAGGGACAGACAGTAATCCAAAAAACACGTTCAGAATGCATCCAGTACACTGCTCAGTGAGAACATTAATCCTTAACATTAACCTTCACCCCGTGCGCTGCAGCGCTAGCGCCATCCTCCGAGTCCGCTCAACTTGCTTTAATGCACTCCAGCCTGCCTTGAACCATTTTGTAAATGTAAGATCATCGTGGCGAACCTAGATGATTTGAGTGTTGCGGCTTTTTGTCGACTGGGTGCTTTGACCCGCTGCCCGCGGATGAGTTTCGGGCTGTTGGGAGGGAGGGAGGATGTAGGGAGGGGGAGGATAGTGATCATGATGGAGGAGGTACAGAGGGACAAAGCAAGTCAGTTTATATGCGGCTCAATTCACTGGAATTATGTCCAAATACTCCATCAATCGATCGGCAACCTCGTCTCTGAGTCTGAGCCTTCAGCACTTCATCGTGAGATTCGACGAAGTGCTTCGCTTGAACAGATAGATTTTGACGGAAGATGGAAGGAGTAGCTTTCTTGCAGGATTCGGCCTTTGTGGATTGTGGAAAGCTTAGGGAGGGATTGCGTTGGATTGGCAGGAGAGAGAGAGAGAAGACCTCTTGAACAAACAAACGGCGCTGACGTTTGTAGATCTTGTAATGCGAACTATACAGGGACCCATCTTCTGCAGAGAGAAATCGATGAAAGGTGGAAAGACTGGACGATGCAGCCTGGATTGGTCCTGCAGAGAAGGAAGGTGAGAGGAACCGAGATGGTGAATAGCCTTGTAAGGTTGGAAGGAGTGTAAGAGCGCATGCAAGGTAACGTAGAGCAAGCTTACGCGACGAGTTGGAAAGGGATGAGCGCTATGTATTGATAGAATCACCGATGAGCGCTGTTACAGTAAGACAGGATCATCAGGGCTGCTTTCGCTCGGCGTGAGATTGTGCTACCTATCGAACACTGATAGCCTGTAGGAGTGATAGTGGAATAAGGGTGGTGAGGTAGGTACATATAAAGATGTTTAGCAGCAGGAATCCCTTCCACATCTTCGCCTATCTCCGGGATGAGAAGAAAGCGGTCTGACTGACGTTCACGACCGTATGTAATAGGAGAATTCATATGATAATTGAATGGTGGTGCGTTGCTCTTGGCCTGATCTGCTCTAAATTTCTTCTACTTGAGCTTGGTCAAACGGAGAGAAAGGCCTAAGATAGTGAGAGACGGAGTATAATAAGCCGTGAGCACAGTAAACGGTGGTGTCGGACAAGACCATTAGAGTATAAAGAGTTAAAAGACAAAAAAAAGGCTAAGCAATAGTTGAAGGCTATGTTGTATGAAATTTCGCACGAGCCTTGGCGCAACGACTGTTTCGTTTCTTGTTGCTTCCATCCACCATTTGTCCACTCTGCTTTATATTTTATACCCTTCTCGCCGGCGAAACCTCATATAACGATACAGCAAACATAACCATTCAGTGACGATCCAACTACATACGCCGTGCTGGACATAATTAAATGTCTTCCTCAAATTACCAAGCTCAGAATCTGTCTTACGACCAACCATCCCATGCTCAGCAGTACTGGAATCAGCAGTATCCTCCTGCAAACAACCCAAAGCCATCTCAGACGCCATTCGACTATCCCGGTTCAGGTCCAGTAAATGTACAATTCGACAATCATCGGGTTGGCTTGAACCGGACCCCGAGTCCTACGCCTAGTGAGGCCAAGGAGCTTTCGACCGGTGCGATTGACTTCAAGTCGTTGATGAATTGGCGCTTTTGGATTCGCAGGCAATGGCTTTGTGCGTAGCGTAGCGTGGTGTTTCTTTATACTGCTTGCTGAAGCGACCGTTTACAGGGTACTATGTCGCCGGCCTCTTCATCGTCATCCTCACCACTCTGATCACCATATTTCACGACCAAATCGTTACCTGGCTTACTCCTGCCACACAGCTCCTTAAACGGTACGTTTCACCGCATTTTTCTTCCCGTCATCCAACTAACACGATTCTCCTAGACTGAAATTCGGCTGGCTTGTACCTATCGGGATTCTCTTCGTTCTATCCTTCCCTCCGGTACATCCATCCCTTTTGCACCATCTTCTGACGCTGATTCCTTTCTCCTCCCCCTTTAGCTTTTCGGTCACGAAATCGTCGCTATTCTTTGTGGCCTTGTCTGGGGTCTTTGGATAGGCTTTGCCATCGTAGCAGCTGGGTCATTCCTTGGAGAAGTAGGCAACTTCTAGTACGTTTCGCCTTGCCCTTACTTTTGTTTATTGGCATAACAACCTTTCCTTCCTTGCAGTGCCTTTAAATATTGTTGTCGTGCCCGTGGCGCAAAGATGGAAAAGACCAAGATGTACTACGCTTGTCTAGCCAAAGTTGTCCGCGAAGGAGGCTTCAAAATTGCGCTTATTGCGAGGTTGTCTGCTATTCCCGGCCACTGTACGTTTTCCTTTCCTTTTGCGATCCGCAATACATGCATGCTCACTTCCATTTTCATTCATAGTTACCACCGCGATATTCTCCACATGCGGAATGAACATCTTTGTCTTTTCGATCGCCGCTATACTCTCTTCTCCCAAACAGTTTATTACGGTGTATTTGGGAGTCATTTTGGGCGAAGCATCGGGGCAGGAGACGACCAAGCAAAAGTTGATTTCGGATGGGGTAGTGGCAGTTACTATGTGAGTTGGCTTTTTTTTGGTGAGGGATATGCATGCTAACGAGGATGTTATATTCTTTGTAGACTAGTCACCATAGCGGCATGCTGGTACATCCTGCGCAAGATGGACCAAGCCAAGCCGAGAGTCATCTATGATAGGAGAAAGGCTCGGTACGTGCCATCCAATTTAGTTGCACATACTGTATACTTACCTTTTATTCAGTCAAGCCAAAATGAGCGAAAACGGCAACGGCAACGGCGTATACAGCACTCCCAGCTTCAGCTCCTCAGATATGTACAACCCGAACTCTTCTGAATCGAATATCCCGCTTACTGCGAAGAAGACGCAGTTTGGAGGACAGCCGTATCCTTTTAGTTCAGAGTATCAGAGCTCCTCCGCCTCTGGTAATGGTAGTATTGTGTATGCACCGAAACCTCAACATCGGTATGAGCCTGATAATCGGTATGGACTCGGAGGGCGAGCAGGTTCGGAGTCGGAGTCGGAGGAAGATTTAGTGGGACATGCGGGAGCGAGTTACAACTACGCACCGACGAGGCAAGCTTCGGATTCTTCGGATGAGGTGGCGCTTGGAGCTCCGCCTGGTGTACCTGTACCACCGACTTTTCCGCGAACGCAGACGCAGTCTCCTGATGCGATTTCGAAGCCGATACCCCAGCAATCGCAACCGCAATTTTCTTCACCATACCAACACCAAACTCCGTACCAGCCCCAGCCCCAATCTCCATCCCTGTCCCAAACCCAAAACCAAATTCCATACCAACACCAAATGACAACCCCCTCCTCTCCTTTCCCATATACCCATTCATATCAACCTCAATCTCAACCACCACCACAAGTCGTACAAGTGCAAACGCCTACGCAGGCGCAGTTTGTGTCTTATAACCCTGCGATGAGTCCGAGTCCAGTCGTTTCCGGGGCTGGGATGCATTCGCCTATCGTCGGTCCCGGTACACCGACGCAGTACGCTTCACCCCAGCTCCAGTCGCAGCCGTACAACCAGCAGTCGTATCAGCATTCGTATGAACCTACAGACGCCACGTATCATACCGCTATGGCGAGTTCGGATAGTCTGCCACCGCCTGGTTATATATGATAGCCTTGCCAATGCAGGGTGTGGTACGCTACGCATAATGCGGTAGTGGTACCACTAGTATCATCAGTCGCAGTCGCTACCGGTACCGACCACCCCCGCTGCGCGGGATACTTGACTTGACGTTTGCGTGTTGCGTGTTGCGCGGGGTGCTACTTGCAATTGTTTCATGTATGTTCTTGACTGCTGTTACGGACTCTCCTAGACTTCTCGTATATACTTCGTAGTATAGTAGTATTACTTTACCAAAGCATACGCGTACATACGTAGTCTATTTTTTCATTTTAAATAACTGGACGCTATGTACTTAGATATTGTTGATAATTCCTTCATTACCACCTTCTTTTCTGTTCTTTTTGTGTCTTTTTCTCTTGTGATGATGCATATGATACCGACACTTACACCAACATCGACATCGACACCTTGGATGCAATTGAAAACCTTTCTTTCTTTCTTTGATTTAATTTATTAATTATCGTTATTTCATTCATCTGCCAGCGTCACTGGGTAACGGACTCCTCTGACGACGCGTGTCTGTCTGTATCTTGGCGTCACGATTTGATTAATCGGCCATCTAAATAAGGACGATAGGTACAGCTTTGACCACTCTCACGATTTCATATGTGGAGACAGCCATGCTATGGGAAGAGAAGTAGCGGAAGGAGAAAACCTAGAGACTTTCTGAATCGGCCGCGAATGTATCGAATACAAAGTTAACAAAAAAAACAAGGAGAGGGAGGTCAACTGGCGTGCTACTGCATACCTTTCTCCCCTTTCAAGCTTCCTACGCGTCGTCCAAACGACGGCGAGTAGACATATGATTGTAGGATTGCAGCATCATCTTCAGCAAATGACAAAGGATTTCGAGGCACAGACTGGCAGCTAAGCCAAGCAGCGTCATGATCCCTGTCATTTTACCGTTCCTTGTTCTTTGCGGAGGTGCGGGAAGGAAATACGCACGTAAAGAGAATAAGCGCCATATGCTTCTATTTGGACGCCTGCCGCTACAACTTCAATGGGCGGTAATTTGTTTGCGGTACTCCAAGCTCTGCGACGAGCCCAGCGAGCTCGTCTCTTCAGTATGCGAGGGTCTTTAACTGCTTTGGAAATGGCCGCCCTTTGCTCTACAAACAGCTGCTCGTAACTAGCCAAACATTGT